CGTCGTTCGTGCCACGTTTTTCAAAGCACTACGCTATAATACGATCGCGTAATGATTTATAAATGGATACAAAATGTTTTTTAAAATAAAATATTTATATTACCGACAGCAAAAAAGAAAAAAGAAAAAAGAAAAAAAATAAAACTTTCGTTTTAATTTTTTAAATTGAGCTCGCTCGTGACGTAATCGACCGTTAAAATGTTTTTATTTTTTAAACTTATTATTATTATTATTATTATTTAATCGACGTTTCTAGAATGTTTTAATTAAATTTTTTTTTCGTTTTTTCTCAAGTCCGCCATAATTTTTTTTTTTTTTTGTAAAAATGGAAGAAATGATTTGTTGTTGTTGTTGTTATTGTTGGAAAACAAACGTATAAGATTTGATTTCGTTGATTTATGACGTCATTAAATTGTTTTTAAAAAAAACAAAAATTCGACGTATTGAATTGTAATCGACGACGACGACGACGACAAATTACTATAATTGCCATAAGACGCGAATAGAATCGAAAAATACATGAAAATTATTATTATGAATTTCGAATAAAAAAAAAAAATTATAGAGTTTTGTTGTTGTTGTTGTTTATGCGGTTTAAACTAAAAAATTTAAAATTCCAACACGATGGTATTAAAGTAATAATAATAATAATAATAATGATAATAAATTCGAGAATGTATCGTGACGTAACGTGACGTTAAGAATGGAAAAACTATTAATATTATATCGAACGCCATTTTTTTTTTTTCGGAATAGAAGTAAAAAAAGAGAAATTTTTTAAAATTTTTTTCTTCCATCTTCTTAAAGTCGGATGATTTTAACGTCGAAGTTTGTAAAACAAACAAACAAACAAACAAACAAATGGGGAAACGAAATGATTTTTACTGTTTGGGCTGGTGGTGGACCTTTGACGTAACGATAAATAAATAATCGTTTAACAACCGATAATAACTGAACGTTAAAATAACATTGATGATGATAATAATAATACGTATATAACATTAAAGAAAAATATTATTTAGGTACTGCACGGGTTAAATTTTTTTATGACCTATGACCTAAACTCATTCGAAATTCGTTAAACTCGTACTAAACAAACTAAAAACATTTTTCTTGTTTGTTTTTAAAAACAAACGACGTCCACGACAACGCGCGAATTCTGATTTTATATTGAAAGTTTCAAAACATTTTCTTCTAGACGACAGACACGCAGCATGATTACCGAGTAAATAATAATAATAATAATAATAAAATTATTAAATGTCGTTTTAATTACAAGAATAAAACAAAAAAGGGAGGGTTATGTTAAGTGAAAGAGTTTAATTGATGCTGTTAAAAATGTTAAAAGAAGAAGCGAAAGAAGAAGAAGAGGAAGAAGATGAAGATGAATAAGAGGGGAAAAGGTAGCGCACCAATAATAATAATAATAATGATAATAATAATAATAATTGAATAACAAAACAATAACGAGACGTGGACGAAACCCTATAGTAAGTAGTTGTTAATAAAAAAAAAAAAAAAAAAATTAATTAAAATATTTTCAAACACCTCTGGAGAGAGAGAGAGAGAGAGAGAGAGAGAGATAAAGAGAGAGAGAGTAGAGAGAGAGAGATAAAGAGAGAGAGAGAGAGAGATAAAGAGAGAGGGATAGTGAAAGAGAGAAAGAGAGAGATCTGTCTGGAAAGTCTGGAGGAAAAAAAATTTTTTTATTCGAATAATAATTCACCGATGAGGAGAGCGTGAAAGTAAAAAAAAAAAAAATAAATAAAAATGATGTCATCCGAACTCTCTTTGAATGGACTCATACGAGTTTTTTTTTTTTTATAAAGTGGCAGCACTGATAACCCCCCCCCTAATTTCCACCTCTTCTTCGCTTCTTCTCTCTCTATGGAGACTAAAAATGAATTTTTTTTATACGCTTTTTCCTACGATTAATATAATTTTTATTAAAATTCGTGGAGTTAAAATCAATTTGCCAACGTGAGAAAAATAAAAAAAAAAATTTTGTTTACTTTTCCCCCCCTTTTTTATTGTGACAATGGATGACGTAACGACTAAAGAAAAACTTTTTGCACGTTTTACATTTTGCTGCGGTCAGTAATAAAAAAAATAAAAAATAAAAAAACAAAACTACAGCAAAATTTTCACGGATTCGACTCAAACGCGGAAACTGAGAGGGAGGGGGGAAATCTCAATAAAAAATCATTCGTGATTTGCTGTCGGAAAACAAATTACCAACCGTTGCAAAAAAAAAAAAAAATTTTTTTTTTTTTTACAAACAATATAAAATTCTCCATAGATAATAAATAACCGGATGACGAATAAATCATTACTATTAATATTTAATAGTCTTGAAAAAGGAAAAAAAAGAATTTATGCGGCGTTTGTTCAGAATTTTATTATTATTATTATCATCCTAACAACAACTTTCTAAAATTTGCAATCGACCATATTTTAGCATTATTACTTCAATCAGCAAAAAAAAAAATTATTTTATTTCCTGAGCGTTGGATTTTTTTTTTCTTTCATTTTTTTTTACACTCGTTCGATTTATTATTATTATCATCATCATCATTATTTTTATTTTTTCAAAGCTTCTAACACGAAGACGACGATGCGAATAACAATATAAAAATATTATTTTCGGTATATAAACAAACGAAAAGAAAAACAACAACAACAACTATTTTTAAAAACCGACCGGAAATGGTTAATAATAATAATAATAGCGTAAAAACATTTTTATAAATGTTTTTACTACGACGAGAAGGAGGGGAAAAAATGGCGGTCGATCTTATTTATTCGCAAAGTGTGAAAAAGAAAAATAAAAAAAAATTTTAAATAAATAAAAAACTCGTTTTCAAAGAACATGGCAATTTCGCATGCGTTAATCAAACAAAAAAGAAAAAAAAAAGTTGGTTTGATTACTTTATAGCAAAAAATTATTTGTTCGTAGCAAAAAAAAAAAAAAAAAAAAAAAATGAATTCCGCCACGAGCGTTTTTTTTCGATGATGTTTAATCTCGAATATTAAATTATGAAAGAGAAAAAGAAGATTTTCGGTTATTTTTTTTGATTCTTATAAAGTTGACCGTAAATCTTGGCAAATTTGCAAAACGTCGACAGAAATAGAATTCGAAAACGAGAAGTTTTTTTTTTTTTTTTTTTTTTTTTTTTTCCGCGAGTCTGTTGTCTGTCAGTCTGAAGGAAAATATATAAAAAAAATACCCCCGCGTATTTAAATACTCTCGATTTATAATAAATAAATAAATAAATATAGATAGAAGAAAATGTCGCCGGTTGAATATAAAAATAAAAACGCGCAACGAGAAACGAATACGAAAACAAAAACAAAAAAACAAAAACAAAACAAAACAAAAAAAACGAGGGGGGCGATGACGTCACAAAATCCGATGTTGACTCGCTCGCGGTTCGCGGCAAACTAAATCTCAGATAGATATCGAAGACTACGAAAGCTTCCGCTATAAAATGTTTATTCATCAGGTACGGATTGACCAAAAAAAAAAAAAAAACGCGATTTTCCATTCATGAAACTCACTCCTCATTTGATTTTTCCAGTTTTGATGACGTCAGAAAAGTTTTTTTTTTTTTTTGTTAATTATTTTGTTTTTTTTTTTTTTCATACGAAACGTCTTCTGCTATCTTAATTAAAATTATTCGTCAAGGATTTTTTTTCCTAAATTTTAACGAAAGTTTTTTACTTTTATTTTATTTTTTTCGCGAGGAAATCCATGGAAAATGTCGTTATTACTATTATTATTATTTAATATACCTTTTCCTCAACAAAACAAAGTTATTTTTTACACGTAATTAATTTCACGGTTCGTATTGTTATTGTTGTTGTTGTTGTTAAGAACCTTGTTTCGATACCTGTTTTTTTTTTTTTTTTTATATAATTAATTATAAAAATATAATTTTTTGTTTTTTTTGTTTACGGATTTGATTTATAACGACGCAAATATCGTACTGCTACTCGTAGATAGGTTGGTAGGTAGATAGGTACTCGAGGAAAAAATTATAATTTTTTTGCTCGTTAAAATAAAATTTCAAAAAGATTTACAGGTACACTCGTATGTGTGTATAACTCGCGAGATTGCGTCAAACAAAAAAAAATTTTTTTGTTCAGCGATTGTATAAAATTCACAACAAACGACCGACAAATTTATCCATCAGACTCCACCTTATCGTATTGTATCGAATTTTCGACCTTAATCGATATTTATTAAATATTTTGATTGGAGAATTTAAACCAATCGAGTATGCGCTTTTTTTTTCAAAAAAAAAATCAACCCCTATTTTAATTCTCTCTCTCTCTCTCTCTCTATTTACAAAAAGGTTATTGCGGTAACAGCAACCATTTACACGACAACCCTCTCACATTTATTAAATTTAAATTAAAAAAACAAACCCCGGATTCGAAATATTATTATTATTATTATCATTTTAATAAGTTTTTTTTTAAATATACAGTCTAAGTATATGTTTACGTAATGTTATTAACTATAATTTCTCTATATAAATATATATAAATAATTTTTCTAATAAAAATATATAAAACGATAATAAAAATTTTGGTGATAACACTGTTATCAGTGTTGGTTATTATTATTATTATTATAATTATTATTATTAATTTAAAAATTAAAATGGCGAAAAACGATGGCTTTTTTGTTACTTTAAATTTAAAAAAAAAAACAAAAAAGAAATGAAAAAGTCAAAAATATCACGTGTAAATATTTTTAATTAATTAATTAAAATTATTAGTAATTCATTTCCGTTTCCGATCGGAATTATTTCCGCTTTTCAGGAAAATTTTTTTTTTTTTTCCAATCGAAAAAACGCGACAACACAACAATTTTCCTTTTTTTTTTGACTTTTTTGTACAATCATAAACAAAAACAACAACGACACAAAAAAAAAAAAAACAATCAAACGTAAATAAAATAATAATAATAATGATAATGATAATGATAATAGGTATTAAAAAACTCCTTTTATGGCCATTTTAGCAATTTGCGATTGATAATGGTAATCGGGAGGTGAGGCGCAAGGTGATCCTGCATTTTGCACCTCGATCGTCGTTATCGGTTTCCTCCTTTCCCTTACCTCTTTAACTCTCTTATCAAAAACTTCTTCTTCTTCTTCTTCCTCTTTGTTCAAATTGGTACCGATGATAAATGATTTCGTCGTGTCACCCCCGACGCCGTCACCATCCTCGTCGTCATCGTTTCTTTGATGTATTTCCGCTTCGACTATTTTCCTAACGGGTTGCTGATATAATTCCAACGAATCTAACGAACTGTCCACGTATCTCTTAGATTTCGGCGATGGCGTCGACGCATCGATCAAATATATTTTGGAACTTTCGTCGCTTATGAATTTTTGCGGAAGTGAAAAATCTCTCCGACTCGTCATCGCGTACGTTTTTTCTGTTCTATAATACGTTTCCATTTTAAAACTCTGATCGAATTTCGGGACTTCCGGTGTGAAATCCGACGAGATTTCCGCGTTGAATTTCGGCAACGATAAATCCGTGTTATCCGTTTCGAAACTTTGCGATTGCGAATGATTATTTCGCGGCGTCGATAAATTAAGTTCCGAATTTAAAAGTTCTAACGAATATTGCGAAGACGACGTGTCACCCTCGTATTTGGTTTCCGGTTTGTGAATTTCCGGTTCGAACGATTGTTCTCCCTGCGCCGCGGCAGAAGCATTCAACGATTCTTGTTGATTGACGATTTCCGTCAAATGTTTTACTATTTCGTGTGCGCAAGGTTCAGATTCTGGAAATTTCGCTTCCGTTATTATTTGCGACGCCATGTCAGGACGAAGAAGTTTTTTTGAATTGATATCCGAACATGGTTGAGGACGTAAATCATCGGTTTTATCAGGGTTATCGGTTGTTTCTTCCGGTTGAAGTTCATCTGCTGCTATCTGAAATTTTTTTTTTTTTTTATTTAAAAAATTCGTTTATTAACGGACTCGTCATCGTTTTTGAATGATTGAAATAAGAAAGAAAAAAAAAAACAGAAGAAATTTAACGGTAAAACAATTCACCTCGATTATTCTTATGGGTGATTTGACGACTCGTTTGACGGTTTCGGAAGAAGATTCAGTTTTAGTTTTTCCTTCGGAATCCGATGCCGTATCCAATTCCCACCACGGAGACATGGCACCACCACCTTCCGATGCAGTTTGAAACGATGATGACCTCGATGGCGGCGTACACGTGCATTCGGATGCCGTTAAAAATTCTTCTTCCGATTTGCTATCGCTCGACGTGTTTGGCGTTTTCGGTGATTTTAAATTGGCGTACCATTCCTAAAAAAAAAAATTTATTATGATTGTTATTAATGAAAAACAACAACAACATTAACATTAACAAAAGCCACGAATAAAATTTTTTTTTCTTTTTTTTTTCCCCCCCCCCCCAAAACTTTTAATAAAAAAAATTTTGTTTTTTTTTTTTGGAATCCAGCCAGTCTTCATCTCTAAACAATTTTATAGTTTTTCATGTCTGTTTTTCTTTCTCTTTTTTTTTTAAACTTTAAATTTTAAAAGTGAAATTAAAAAAAAAAATAAAACCAACTTCGGGTGATGTCGATGATGTTCCATCCAATAATTGTTTCGTGTTTGGCGTGACCGTTGATGACGTATTCAAACCTTCGGCTTGTGCCACGTTTATCGTTGCATCCAATTGTTCGGCTAAATTTGTTACTTCTGATAATTTATCGACGATTGCTTCGACCGATGTAAAATTGCTATCGTTCGGATTCCTATTATTATAAAAAAAAAAAAAAAAAATTATTATTATTTCGATTAGGGGGGGGGGGAAGGAAGAGGAAGTTGGGAGGAACGGAGAGGGGAACGAGGAGGGAAAAGCCGCCAAATCAAATTTGAAATTTTTTATATTCGTGTGGATATTGAACCGTAATAAACTCATCTTTCACTCGACGACTAAATATAAACTTTTTTGAACTTGGGGATTTGAGCTGACGTTTTCTTTTAGTTTTTTTAGTTTTTATTTTAGTTTTTCGTTTTTAATTTTCGTAATGAAAAATAAGCAAAAAATTTATTCATTTGGTCGGTGAAAAGGAAATTAAGAAAAAAATTTCGATGAATTTTTTCTCCTTGTAAAAAATTTACGCGAAACCCTCCCAAAAAAAAAAAAAATGAAATATAATTTTTTCGAATTAAGTTATCACGTTCATTAAATATATAATCAATTTAATAAATTTGTCTCTCTCTCTCTCTTTCTCTCTCTCTTTATGTAAAATGATCAGACTTTTGAAATACGATCGATTTTTCTTAATCGATAAAAAAGTTTAACGATGTGTAAAAAAAAAAAAAAAAAAAAAAAAAAAAAGAACAAAACGGAAACTTACGAACTGGAATCCTCGTGTTCACCAGAATTTTCTCCAACCGTAGAATTATCATTATTATTATCATTTTTTACATTTCCAGAAAAAGAACCGACAGCGTGATTTAACGCGTTACCCATTATACGTAATTAATTTATCCATTCGTAAAAAAATAATTCGTTGTTATCACACAACATTAAATTACTTATTTTATTATTATTATTATAATGATAAAAAAAGCAACAAAAAAATGTTTTTAATGTGACGGCGTGTAAATAGATGAGATATGAAAAAAAAAAAAAAAAAAAAAAAAGATGGTTGACCGCGCGAGAGATATTAAATAAAACTAAATTAGTTGAAGGTGCAATTTCGTACGTGTGCGTGTGTATTAAAATTAAATTTTTTTTTTTTTTTAGTAGTTGGAGCCAAGTTAGTTTTAACTTTCCGAATCGTTTGTTTTTCTATACGCACGTTTATTTATTTTTAATTTTTTAGTTATTTACACGACGTTTTTTTTTTAAATTTAATTTAATTTTATTTTATCTACCATCACTCGTTTGTTTTCGCCGCGTGGAAGATCAACGGGAAATATTTAAAAAATTAAAATTATTATTATTATAAACGCTGATTGTTCGTTTGTTTGTTTGTTTACCTTTGTTCGGGGAAAACGGGTTCTTTGAGTCTAGTTTTCAACAAACGTCCCAATCTGACCATTCTACCGACTTCCATGAGTAATTTTTCTCTGTTGTGTAACAATTTTCTTATTTTTAATTTTTTCTTGTTCGCATCTTCGATTTTCGTCAATTCCTGAACGGAATTTCTCAATTCTTTTAATTGTTTGCAATGCTTAACGAAAAAAAAAGAAAAGAAAAAATCAAAATGGCGTCTTTAACGAATCGTGATTGATAATGAAAATGATGATAATACCTCTTGAACGGTTCTGTGAAAAACTGCAGATACTCTCAGTCTCGTCATTTGTTCTTGTCCAACCATTTGTAAACGTTTCCACGCTTGCCAAAGATTTTGCGTCAGTTGAACGTTATAATCTTCTGGTAGTTTGCAAGAGTGTCTCAAAGCTGAGGCCGCATTTAAAAGCTGACAACCGTAATCGTAAGTGCCCTGTGCGAATAATAATAATAATAATAAATATGAAGGGGGAGGGATGGAGGGGAGGCGGAAAATTTTTTAAATTACTTTAGCTGTTTCTTGAAAAGCTTGATGTTCTTCTTTCATCATTTGTATCTCGTTAACGTTACAACCGACGTGCACATACTCCTTCATCATAACTTGAAAGAGGTCATTCAACCATTGCACCTGTAATATAAATAAACACCTTTTTTTTTTTTTTTTTTTTCAAAAACAACCGCGTCCTTATAATTTCGGGTTTTATTATTATTATTATTTAAACGTATGTTGCACCGAAAACAAAACAAAACAAACGCAACGACTCACAGCTTGTTTGGCATCTTTTTCGTATACGTGTACGTGAGTTACTTGTTCCAACGTTAATTTTTGCAAATCTACGCTATCGCTAAATAATTGCTTTCTAGATAGTGTCGCTCCAAGTATTTCCTGAACGTTGACGATATCATTTTCGTAATTGACATCAACATCTCGTCCCAAAGCGTCTTTAACGGGCATTGATAACAAATCCGAAAGTTTTTCACCTTCTTTGAGTAATTCTTTGGCTAGAAAATCTTTTTTTAAAAAAAAAAAAAAAATTTAATTTACGATATATATGGTTTATTTGAAATCATTCGACTTTTAATTTATTATTATTATTATTTACTTATGTTGATTTGATTTTCTTGTAATTCTTGTAAACTTCCGTAAGCCGATTCCAAAGTGGATTCGGCGGAATCCTCCGTGGACACGACCAAAGTTTCGAAAACTTCGTTTGTTTTTTCAAAATACTTTAAAAAATAAAATAAGAATTAAAAGGAGGTTATGTTTTCGTTCGTTCGAGTTTTAAATTATTAAAATAGTGATAATAATAATAATAATAATAATAATAATAATAATGTTTACTTACTTCGGTAACGAGCCTGTAAAATCTTAAACACGTGATTAATATGTTACGCCTTCTTTCTAATCTCGTGGCAAAACTTCTACAAACGAAATCCATAAAATCCCGTTGAGATTTTAAATCTTCCGGTATGTTTATGTTCAATTGTGGGAGTATGTCTATTTTATGTAAAAGTTCTGCGTACTGACCGTAGGTTTCCTAAATAAACAAACAGGAAACAATTTGAAATTGCTATTGACACGTCGTTTTTTCCCCCCCCCTAACTTTCGTAATCGTTGTCGTCGTGTTTGTTTCGTTTATTTCGATTTTTATAAACCTCAAAAAAATTTTTTTTTTCAAATTCGTGACATAAAAAAAAATGTACAATCGAAATTAAAAAAGAGAGAGGGGGGAAAGAAGAGAGAGAGAGAAGGTAAAATAATTATAATTTTAACACCTTTAAAAAAAAAAAAAAAAAATTTAGGTTTTTATACGTTTTACTTTCTATTTTAATTGACTTTTCTAACGTTTATTTGCTGCGTAAAAAAAAAAAATAAATAAATAAATAATGTAAAAACCGGTTTTGATTTAATAGGGTTAAATCGACCGCAGTTTTCTTCTTTTCTTTTTTATTTCATTGACGTTTGAGAGAGAGAGAGAGAGAGAGTGAGAGATGAAAGTATTAAAAACTTACTCTGCACTGGAGTTCCAATGCTTCGTGTTCGGCTCTTAGTTCTTCCGACGAGGGTACGTCATATCCGACTTCCTGTTGCGAATTTAACATTGTTTCCGCAACGCCCAATATCCATTTCGTCACTCTCGCGACTCCGGTTTCCAACAGCGTGATTTCTCTCGCGTCCACGCATTTTTTTTCCATGTTCAACCACGCTTTGTCGATGCATTCTTGTTTTTCTTCCATGACTTCCAATAATTTTTCTATTTTAATCCTCGTGTCCGTCGCATCCTGAGGCGTTTTATAGCAATCGTTCGAATTGTTCCTCTGACATTCCCTATCAGTCTTTTCTATTTGATCGAGTAATTCTTTTCCTACGAAACGAATTCAATTCACACACACACACGTGTATGCGTGCGTATTTTTTTTTTATTTTTCCCTTGGATTGAAAATAATTAACGGATAATAAAAAAAATAAGAAACGAACCGGTTTGTAAAATTTTTTGCGCTATTATTTTATTCGTGTCGAAATTTTGTTTTGTAAAAACGAAAGGATCCGTTGGTGTGCTCAACCTTTTGCTCGTTGTAAATTCAATTAATTTCTGATGAAATTTTTCCAATTCTCCGAGTGATGATTTTGCTTCTTTCACGTAAAATTCAACGTACTGTAATAATAATAATAATAATAACGTTTAAAAAAATCTTAGAGGGAAAAGTTTTTACACAAAACAATATTGGAAAAAGTTTTTTTGATCGAAGACAACCTTAAAACCTTTTTTTTTTGTACGAATTTCATTACAAAGTTAAATTTTATTATCATATCGTTTGATAAAAGTTTTGATAATTGTAGTAGTAGTAGTTCAAAGGTCAGAAAACTATTTATTAAGTAAAAAAAAAAATATTACAAACATGTCTACAAAGTAGAAAGTTTATTTTTTATTTTTTTCTTTAATAACAGATTAACATTTATAGTATTTTAAAACGTTATTCCATGAACCTTCTTTCTGGTTCCTTGAACCAAAAAAAAAAAAAAAAAAAACAAGATGGCCGTTTAAATTTTTCTATTTTTTTCGAAAAAAAAAAATCAAGCACGATTGCAAAAAAAAAAAAAAAAACATTTTCACGAAGCTGACTATATGCAATATACTAAAATTATTATTATTACTATTTTTTTTTTTTATAAAAACTCAAAACTTAATTATTACTAAACTACACGTCATTAAATCCGACAACAATTATTATTATTATTATTATTATTATTTACGGTAACGTTACGTTTAAAAATAAATCGAATTTAATAATCAACGAAATGTTTTTATTACCGAGATACGGTGAATCGACTTTCCTTCACCTTCGTTCCACGGATTAGTACTAAAAAAAACTTTTTTTTCCCCCCCCTGTAAACTGACGTTCAATTTACTTAATTTTTTCGTTTTTTTTCTTCCCCCCGTTCCCCCCGTTGGCCCCCTTCTTAACAAAGATAATAAAAATTTATTTGTTCGTTCGGCACAAAAAAAAAAAATTTATTTATTTTTTATTAAATTTTTTCTCACAAGTTTTAGGTTATTCTTTTTTTCTTCTTCTTCTTCAATTACTGTACATAACGGTTCACAATTACACAGATTAAATCTCTATTAAATACTACTTGGAGAAAATTCTCGAACAACCGAACAAACAATCTGAATAAATTTTAAAAAACAACAACAACACAGAACCGATAAAAAAAAAAAAAAAACGTTTGTACGTTATTAGTTATTACCCCGCGAGTGTGTGTGTGTTTTTCTGCTACTAGCATCCACTCCGACTAATTTTGCAACCCAAAAAAAAAAAAATAAAATGTTTTGACGAATGTTTTCGTCGACTAACATTAATCATAATTTTTTTTATAGAAAAAGAAAGAATGATAGAAAGAAAGAATACAATGATGTAAATTATTCGACCGAAAAAATAAAAAAATAAAAAAAATTTTCCACATATGGTAGGTGGTCACACTCTGATATTTTTTGACATTTCTTGCTGACGACTAAAATTAGTAGTTATTGTAGTAGTAGTATACGGTATATTTATTAAAGTACACGCACGCACACACTAAATAAGGTTATTAATAATTTTGTAGTAGTAGCGGTTGATCGCGTAAAAAAAAAAAATTTCAAACGGTTTACGTACGACGAATAAAACAAACGAAAAATTTAAAAATTATTATTATTATTATCATGACACTTACGAGTCTATTTTGTATCCATTGTGAATGATTATAAGACCAAGTACCGCCGAAATCATTTGTAAGTTGCGAATAATCAACGTATTTAGAAAGTCTAGAAATCGGAATGAATATCGGCTGTAAAAAAAAAAAAAAAAAAAAAAAAAAAGTATACACGATTCTTCGGTCGAAGTAAAAGAATGAAACTGACAAGGAATGTAGGTCGTTCTCTTAAAAAAAAAAAAAAAAACTCCTCACTCACCTCTCCCTCCTTACGTATTTTGGTACAATTGTCAACTCTTTGCTTGTCCCAGAATCCATCCGGTCTGAGAACGATGAAACTCGCCAAGTCTGGTCCGAGAGATAACCTCACGTGACGTATGCAAGCTCTAGCAACCCTCCATGGGGTTTTTTGACAGTCGACCAATATGGTGAAACCTCTTCGTCGTGTGTCTTGCGAGAATATAGATGAAAAATATTGGAGAGTGTGTTCTAAATTATCTTTCGTCCAGGGTTGAAGTTCCGTCGGAACGTATATTATTATTAGGGGTCTGCCTTCGAGATCCCGACTTCCGGGGAGACATGCTGCTTTTGATTCTAGTATCTCTACAATGTCCCCCGCGAACATCACTGGAAAAAAAAAATAAAAATAAAAAACGAAATTAAAATGAATTTTTTGTGAAATTTCAATTTCATCGGTTGTTGTTTGATTTTTTAATTAATCAGTGTTGCCAATTCATTTTAAAAAAAAAATTGTTTGTTATTTGTTGGTAGACACTTTTTTTGGCCTAAACGTTTTTCAGGTCTTTCTACCCGATACTGGTTGTGAGCGGGTTTCGCCTTTTACTACCTAAATATTAGTCATTTTAAGTTTTCCAGAGTCCATTTCTGGGCTCCGTGGTAAAATCAGGATCGGGAGAAACTGTCTCTGGTCGATTTAAGAACCAAATTTTTAGGAAAAGCCAACAAAATGTGATTTTCCCAAACGGTGGTCGCACATCCAAATAATTCGCGGTCGATGTTGCTTAATTTCAGTTATAGAACGAAAAAGAATCCGGGACGTACATCCGGGTCGTCACAACCGTTGACCTCCTCCTCCTCCTCCTCCTTATTATTATTATTATTATTATTATTATTATTATTATTATTATTATTAAAATCGTAAATTGGAATTGTCGGGTTCGTAGGCAATAATTTGTAGAAACGGCCATTAAAACCGTCAAAAAAAAAAATTATTAGCATGATATTTTTTAATTTTTTTTTTCCTACGGGAAAGCAAAGAAGAAAAAAAAAAATTTGCAACATAATTTTAACGTCATTTTTGCCAACATAACAACAACAACAAGTTTTACCACCATTTTTATATTATACCCCCCCCCCCCCCGTCACATTTATTTATTTAATTTTTGTTAGTTTTTCAACATTAAATTAAAAATTTTTACAGTTATAAATTAAAAAAAAAAAAAAAAAAAATTCAATACTAAATAAATTCTAATTACAAACTACGTAAAAAAAAAAAAAAAAATTTTAATTTTGGCGGGTAATTAATCACCGGAACACAACAAAAAAAAAAAAATTTTTTTTTTTTTGGCATTTCCATAAAAGGAAACATTAGTTGTTATTAATAAACGAAAATCTTCATATCATGCGAATAAATTCATCATAGAAAAAAAAAAAAAAAAACAAAACAAAAACAATCGGAGACTAATTGAAAAAATAATCATTATTATTATTATTATTGGTTTTTTATCGGTAAATTTTGAAAATGTTAAAATAAATTTGATAAGAATAAATAAATAATTAATTAATTAAATAAAAAGATTAAATTTCGACGTGCAAAAAAAAATTTTTTTCTTTTTCCTAACGGTTTTTTTTTTTTTTTGCATAGATTCCGCCATGTTTTTTTTTAAACTCGCAACATTTTCATGTTGGTGTAGTAGTATGTTTATTAATCGATCGGCTGTTACACCTCTGTATAAGGAATTAAATCGGTCAAAAATAATAATAATAACAATTTTTTTTTATAATTTCCCCCGAGGGAGCAAATTCCGATAGAAGAGGGGGGGAGGAAAAAAAAAGGGAAAGATTTGTGTGACCTACGTCGAGTTTTTATTTATTACCACGGTAATAACTTTGTAATAATTTTTTTTTATATATATTTAACGGTAACGTGACGATTGTCAATCGTATCGTATCGTATCGTATCGAATCGTAACTTTTGATATTTTTCTTTAATAAAAATTTATTATTAATGATAAAAAAAATTACCCGTAGTAATAAAAACGAGAAAAAAAATTATCTTGGTAATAAAAACGAAAAAATAAAATTAGTATTTATTAATAATTATTCGAATCATTAATTATTTAGTCGAGTTGTAGAGTGTGTCTGTTGTTTGTTGTCGTTGTTTATGTTTTACTTATTCAAATTAAATTTGTGTTAAAATGAAAAAAAAAAAAAAATTACCATCGTGAAAAAAGTAATTTATTTGACAAAATTCTAATATTATTACCGTTTATAATTTTTTTTTTATTACTCTCCATGTTTAAACATTCGAATCGTTTCGCGAGTATTTCCCTAATAATAATAATAATGATAATAATAATAATGATAATAATAATAATAATTTACAGGAAATTAAAATTTTTAATTTTTTTTTTTTTTATTTTTTTATAATAAATTTCAATGAATTTTTTTTTTTTTTACGGTTTTTTTATGGATGAAACACGAGAAGGTTTCGTTTAAAATTTAAATGGAAACGGAAAGAGAGAGAGAGAGAGAGAAAACCCGTACAAACGACGTACAAACCGTCGTACAAACGATTCCGTAGAAGAATCCTTTTTTTTTTAAATATCATTTACCCCCACCCTCGAGTCAAAATTTACTCATCATTCAAAAAAAAAAAGGTTATATTTATCTTTAACATCGGCGCACCCTTTTAAAAACACAAAAGAACAAACAAAAAAAAAAAACGTTGAAAAATTAACTGGAAGAAGAACAAACACGACAAACAAGGTTTTGATTTTTTTTTTAACTTTTCAACTTAACGAAGAAGAATGAAAAAAATCAAAATGGTTGAAAATTTTATTTTTGTGGTTTTTAAACACTCGAATGTGAAAAATAGTTTAAAAAGAACGTGGCACCAAAACAAAGAAACCCGTGTTGAGTGATTTCAGGTACGACGACGACGACGATTTGCAAAATAAAAATTACGACAAACTCGGTCAAAAATTGATTTAAAAAAAAAAATACACACAAAAGGTGAATTGTGTTTGTTATTGCAAAACAAACAACGAACAATCAATGTTTAATAATAATAAAATTTATTATTATTATTATTATTTACGTCTTCTGCTTGGTCAGCAAAGAATAATAAATAATACCTGGAATTGTTTAAAAAGTGTAACAGAAATTTGATTTTATTACGTAAACGAACGTGACGAATTATTTAATTCTAATATTACGACAAAATTTTTTTTTTTTTTCAAATTGTAATTAACGATAAAATTAAATTTCATTCATAAAAAAAAACTATAAAACCGTTAAAACAATAATTATTATTATTAACTTTGATTTTAAATAAAGTTAGCCAACAGTAATAAAAAAAAAAAAAATTTTCTTCGTTTTAAAAGTTGGCGTAAAAGGTCGATGTGAGTCTATATATAAAAAAAAAAAAAAAAAAAAAAAACTAGTGACACGGTATACAATGCGTGACATCTACCCAAGACTATTATTTATTATTTTTTATAGTCAAGTTTATTAATTGTAATTGCGATAATGATAATAAAATAAGAAAAAAAAACTGTAAACTTTGTAGTGTTAATTTAAAATCTGCTGCCCCGTTTTTTTTTTTTTTTTTTTTTTTTTATTAACACGAATCGTTTTATATATATATCTGATGGATGTCGAGTCGACAACCTGACGTTCGTTATTGTTTTCTCCTAATTGCAAAATTTATACCTATTTATTATTTTTTTTATTGATTTATTCTACGTTTTCAAATGAAAACAATCGATAAAATATTGACGTGGAATTAGAAAAATTAAATTGTTTAGTGGGGGGAAAAGGAAAAATTATGAATTGTTATTCGTAATGTTTTTTATAAGATTTTTCTCTTTCGGGAAAATAATATAAATAATTGTTATTGAGTCACAGTTTTTTTTTTTTTTAATGCCACGTTTTTAATAAACGAAAACGACGTGGTAGCAGTAAAAATTTCGTTTAAAACGGGGAAAAAAATGTCGTACATGAAATTTTTATTTTATTTTTTTTTTTTTTTAGAGAAATTTTTCAAGGTGGGATGAAGTAATTTGATGAGGGAATGTTTTGCCTTGCTCGACTGCAAACCGGTGACTTTTTGTTTGTTTAATCGACAACAACCGCAACAACAAAAACGACAACATACCTTAAAACCTGAATTTATTGAACAAAAAAAAAAAATATTTAATTTAACTTTATGACTCGTCGTCGTCGTTAAAAAAAAAAATTACTACGAAATTTTTTTTAAAAAATTAAAATTAAAAAAAGTAAAAATCTTTCCTTTTTTTAATTACCGGTAAAAAAAATTACCGTAATAAATTTGTGATGACGTAATAAAATAAATTACCGTAAATAAATTTTTTAAAATAAATATTAATAATTTTTATTTTTTAAATTAAAGAAAAGTTAAAAAAAAAAAAGTCTTTTCGAAAATAAATAAATTTAACAGGGAGACGATTGTTTGTCGTCGTTGCGAGAGATTTTTTTGTTTGTCGTGTAAATAACAAACAAATTTAAATTTAAAAATGGCGGTAATTTTTTTTTTTTAAATTACAAATCAAAAAGTAAAAAAAAAATACACGGGTTAAAAATCCGTTAAGAGTTTCATTCACCTGACCACGTCAGAACGAATTTCCTTGGGCAATAAAAACCTGTTGTTGTTGTTGTTATTATTATTATTATTAATATTAGTACCACCATGTTTGTATGTAACAAAATAATAATAATAATAATAATAATAATAATAATAATAATGTATATAAATATAATAAATTTTTTTCCCTTCGATTTATGAAACAAAATAATGCTGTCGGTATATAAACGCACTACTCACGTGTTTGTATATTTGGAAATCATTCAGGTATATTCCTTAATAAGATGCCTTTAAATTAAATCATCACGTTTATTATTATTATTATTAATCACTTGAACGATATTAAAAATTAAAATCAAATAATAATAATGATCATCACTTAGCAAGAACCTCCACGCACGGACCGCACACGCACGCACTCACACACACGTGTAAAACAAACGGAAAAAATTTTTTTTTTTGAATTTCCCGCGATTTTGATTTATTATAAATTTTTTGTCGTATTTAAATTTAACGTTCGAACGTAAAACAGTGATAATAACAATAATAATAATTTTCCGCAGGAATAAACTCGTTGCATGCGTTTGAAACGAATCGAATTATCATTATTATTATTATTGTTAAATGTTTTCGAGCGCGCGCCCGATTCCCTTGGCCGATATCTCCGATACTTGTAACGATACAGGCTCAGGCAAGCAGGTACGTTGAACTGAATGTGCGTGCGTGTGTGTGTGTGTGTGTGTCGAGTAAAATGGTCTTTCAATGGATCAGGTTTAAGA